ACACGTGTGGCTCATTGCCTAAACCGTGGTGCTTCGAGTGACAGCGATGAGCGACAAAACCGAGAAGCGACACCTTTTTCACAGAGAAGAAAGAACTTTAATTAAATATAGTGAGAGTCAAAAAGTTATTTTACACTTCAAAGTTCAAAATAATAAAAAAAAAATCAACATTATCATCTTTACAGTAGTTTCCTCTGTACTCTTCCCCTCCATACTGATACTATTGATAATGTGTATGAACAATGCCAACCGCTGTGAGCCTGAACGCAGACAAGCCATGACAAATGTTATTACTGCTGTTAGACAAGTGCTTTGGATTTTGATTCCTTCACAAAAAAAAAAAAAAAACAACAAAAAACTTTCTATTTACTCCTTCCTGTACAAGTATTTATATATGTACTATTAAAAAAAAACATCCCTCGGCTTTTAAACATCACATTTTTCGTTCAGAGGAAAAATGATGACACACTCGCACACACTCGCAGGCACTCTCACATGTAGACACAAACAGAAGAGTGGTCTCCAGACCCATGTTTGAGATAAAATAAATAGGTGGCTCATTTTTTTTTTCTTTCTTTCTTTCTTTTTGTTTTTTTTTAAAAAAAGGAGAAGTGAAGGAAAGGAAAAAAGAGGGCAAACATACCGAGTATTAATAGCACAGGGAGGGAAATGAACAGAGGAGGGGAGCAGAGAGAGAGAGGACAGAAAACCTGACTGAAGCAGGAGAAAGGAGAGAGAAAGAGGAGAGACTTTTCCTTCTTCTCTTTCAGCCTTTGTTGAGCAACAAATTTTCCATCCTAAAGTCCATCATATGGAAGACAAACACAGAAAATCATAATGACATATTCATAAACTCTACGTCTACATAATGCAACAAAATGATGCTAACTTGAACAAGAATGATACGAACAACAGGACAAAAAATGAAAAACATCCTCCTGCTTCCTTGATTTAAAAAAAAAAAGAAAAAAAGAAAAATACACCATGGCTTATTTTAGCTTGATTGAAATTAGCAGTGGAAGTATGGCTTTTAACAAACAGACACTATAATACAAAAACAAGTAAGATGTCTTAATAACATTCAAATCCTGACATGAGAGACACAGACAATAAGGAGCACATCTGAGTATCTTCGGGGAGGTTTTTCAGGGTTTTAGTTGTTTTTTCGACTGTTTTTCTTTTCAATTTTTGAGCCGTTTCACAGGAATTTTTTTTTCATATTCCTAAATTCTTTCATCCCAGTTCTTGATTACTTCTTCCCTGACAGACCTCCAGTCTCAGCTGCTGAGGTCTGCTGACTGATGTGGTGGCTTTTATCCATTTAATTTGAATTTAAAATTGAGGGATATTAAGTATTTCCTTCCTTTTTTTTTTTTTTTTTTTTTAGCAGTAACATCGAGGAGACTGAAGGTTCAGATCTCCTCAGGCAGTCGTTACAAATGATTTCTACTTATCAAATAGATGCTATTTAGGTTTTCTGTCCAGTTAAGGATCAAATTCACTTTCAAATAGTTTCTGTTTGTGCCAGATGCAATCCATGTAATCTGTGAATGCTTCCTGCCTCAGGTCTGAAAATGACAGGTGTACATGATATGGCATCCTTACTTTTTATGACAACGTGTGACAAGCGAAGATATGTAGACCAGCATAGGAACTGTGGCGTAAGACTATTTAGGCATTAATGTCTCTGAATAAGGGCTTTGGCAAAATTAACATCATAATTTAATTAAGACTGTTGAACAACACACACACCATCAGATAGCTTTCACACACTGGGCATTTAAGACATGTCGCTGGCTAACTGTCCTGCGCTGCAAAAAAAAGTGTTTTTTTTTTTTTAATTTCTGGAAAATGATACCCCAGTTTCAGAAACAAGTGCAAAATATTGCACCAGAATGCCATCCTTCTTAAACAAGAGCATCAGAGCAATTGTTTTGTTTTCTGACACTCGTATCAGCAAGAAGTTTTCTAAAGTGTTGGTTTTTAAAAGTTTCCCTGTAGAAAATGTTATGATGTGACATAACTATGGTTAAGGTTCGGTGAGATTTAGGCATAAAAACAACTTGTTTAGATTTAGGTAAACATCATGATCTTGACTAAAAAGACAATGCTGTTGGTTGGAAACAGCAAATTAATGTCAATGCTTGATATAATGTTTACCCATCCATCCACCCCAACCTTCTTGTTGCTCTACACCAGCATCACATGACTCCTCCTTCTGCCAGAATGACTGTAGTTGCTAACAGGCTTTATGTATGAACATAAATCTCGTGTAGGGGCTCTTGCTGAAATGACTGATGCTGTCGTTCGTCTTGGGATGACAATCTCAAATGTTCTCACCTTGGTGGCAGATGTTTTTCACACTTTTAAAAGATTAATTTTAATACTCAGTCACAAATTTTTTTGCCTTGACATTTTTTTGCAGCGCAGCATGTAAGACACACAGTTGGTTAGTTTTCCCACTCAAGTTGCCGATCAAAACCAGATCAGAGGGCAGGCAAAAAAAATAAAAAAAGCACAATCTGATTGGCCAGCTGATCACAGTAAAAAAATATTAAGAAACACAGCAAACCCCCAAAAAAGCAAGTAAAAGAATAAGCATTTATCTGTTCAGAAAAGAACTAAGGAAAGCAAATCTCACACAACAAAATCAAAATGGCAGCAGTCTTGTAAGACATGTTCCCCTTTTTATAGAGGTTGCTGTGGCTGTGTCCGACTGTAAAACAGATGCGGCCGATGGAGGGACTCAGTGGCAGTTTTTGGGTCAAATCCTCAACAGTGAAGCTGCTGTTGGCACCCAGTAATCACACACTCCACTGCTGGGAAGAAGCTGCATTCTTTTATGGCCTTTTTTTTTATGGATAGCTGTTTCTAAATGTGTCTTGAATTAGCACTGAAGCATGTGAAAAACTTGAATCGCTGATGGTGGAAATAAATTTGTTCCTTGTTTGTTAATTGACAGATTTTTTTTTCTCCTTTGTGCACCATTTGGTGGCTAAAAGACTGGTTTGCATGTTTGAGAAAATGTAGCACATGGGAGCAAACACTGGTAAATGCAGGGATTTGTTCTGGATGGATCAGATGTGGCATCCAAATCCTTTAGCTGAATGACTACGCTCTAAGTCTCAGCACCGAGAGAGCGATGGAGGGTTTGGCAAGGAGAAGCGAAGGTGCGTGTCTGGTTTGGCTTGTCTGTGTTGGCTGGATTTGACCCCGTATGAATCCTGTGACTTCTTCATCATCGTCTTGACTCATCGTCACCATCATCGTCAGGCATTCTTCACATTATATTCCTTCATTAAAGACAAAACTTCATAAATAGAAAATCCCTCATGTAGGTTACAGTTAGAAGATGATTATCACACATTAAGTGTTGCACGGAAAGAAAAAAACAAAACAAAACAAACTAATCAACAATCACTCAAGGGAGGAAACGATTCTCTCCAAAATAAATACACTTCACGTGTCCATGGAGAGTCCGTAACATAGGCGTGGCCGTTCTCCTATAAAAGCATCAAGGTGTACAAAGTCTAAACAATGTATTTTCTTGCAAACAGTCTTTTTTTTTTTCTTTTTTTTTCTTCTTCTTTTTGTTCTTCTTGTGTTGTTCTTGCAGTTGTTTTTGTGTTAGAAAGGGCCTGAGTTGGGTTTGTTCCTTCAGATCGGGACAGCTGCTTCCATCCCTGACCGGAGTCTGACTCGCACCGAATCCTCCAGCAGGATCAGTGAGAGTGTGCTTGGTTCAACTCACACACAGTCACACACACGCGCGCGCACACACACACTCACACACACAGTCATGCACTCACACCTTTACATGGGTGGGACGATCATTCCCGGGATTGCTGCCGAGTGGAGAAAGAAAGAAAAAAGAACGAAGGAGAGAGGGGAAGAAAAGAAGAAGAAAAAACTTTTAAAACACAGCCAAATATTTTCATGGTCATAAAAAATTCCCTTGTAAATGCATCAATATGTTTTCCCATCTGTGCAGCTGTGTGACTGCAGCGACATTTAAAACATCAATAGACAAATAAATCAGAAAAAAAATAAATAAATCGAGCATCATCCGAGCTGGCGATGCTGCTCACACACATTCTGCACAGCAACAGTTGGCGTATTTGACTGTATGTTTGTATGTGTGCCTGACACATTACATCATGGCATGTGTTGTCTCGAAACCCAGGGGATGGGTGTCAACATGTGAGAAGCAGAGCCCAGCCCAAAGTGACACACACAGAGATATTTTTCCATCACTTCAGAGAACATTACATTGACTTACATTCATTTCCTGGAGACTTATCCTGACCATAACTGCAACGACTACTTGCCAAACCCTAATACTTTGGCTACATTAGACACATAACGTATGCGGGTCATTTGTTGAACCAGTGTGCTGCAGAACGTATCTGTTTAATTTAATGGCTACACCTGCAGGGCATGTATGGCGTATGTTGTTGTATGAGTTACAGGAATAGTTAGAGGATGAGCTGTTGCTTTGGGATTAGTGTGTCTTCAGTTTTTGGACCAAGCACAGAAAGCTTATGTAATACGGGTAAGTTGACATCTACAGAGTACAGTCGACCATGTTAAGGGATAAACTTGCTGTGCATCTCAAAGCTGATAACGGCAAAACAAATGGTGATCAAGACCCCCTAAGTAGAGCTCTGTTTGATGTAAAATTGTAATTCCTTGTGTACTGGTAGTTTAATAAAAATAAATAAATAAAAAATAGAAAAAGTCAACACTTGATGACCCACTACTGTCTACAAGGGCCACAAACAATTTGTGTGAAAATAGATGTAGAAGTCTTGCCTCTTTTTCCATTGGCAGAGTGGACCTCTGTGGCACAAATGCTCTCTTACATCTTGACTATACTCCCTCATGGATGAGCATACTGACTGACAGCTGACCACTGATGCACAGTTGTTATTACTTTCTAGTCTGCTGGGAGGACTCTTTTCCAATCACGCACAGTAGATTGGGGTCTACGTATTCCATGCATGCTACTTGCTACAGCCCCTTGTAGCGTAGCATCCATGCAGACACAAATTTTAGGCTGCATATTGATGTCAATGAGAGGTCCACATATGCTATTGTAGACTTGGACAGATGACAAGAATTATGGAGTGTGGACGCTGAAGGCCCATGGTGGATGTGTACTCATTCTCAAAAATGACTTTTTGCAGGATATAGGACTATAGCACTGTGTCATTAAATATTCCTGAGGAGTGCAGCGCACGGGAGGCAAACACATCTCAGGATTTCTGGAGAATTTAGAACTTCTTTGGGGCACTTCCAGTGCAAATGTACAAGTCAAAGCTCCTCCAAAGTCTAAGAGGGACTGCTTCAATTACAACCCTTTTTATGATGAATTACAAAAGTGTGGATGATGAAAAACATCCATGTATAGCCTTCCCCTTAACAAGAACCTGTTTTTACCCACAAATGCTTAAAACAAGGACTACATGTGCGGTGACAGATTTAGAGCTGCATGTGGATGTCCACATACCCTCCTGGACTTGGGTGGATGGTGAAATTTAGATCACATGAACTGTTGCAGACTTGCAAAATACATGAATTGGCCTTACAACTGCTCTCTTGCCTGGTGTAGCCAGTTTAATTAATTACAGTGAAAGCGTATTGTTGCAGCAGCTGCGGCACGAACGGTCCACACATGATGCATATTCAATGCAGCCTCAGAGTACCTCTTGCCCTAAGCTTAACCTAGCACATTATCCGTAGTGGTCCTCATAATGTGGCTTTAAAAACAAAGCATATCCCCTTATAATTTGTTATATAAGCATACACACACACATACAGCAGAGTGAAGAAATAATTCAATGAAAGGCTTTAGATTTTGCTTAGAGTGAAAACTTTAAATATAGACGAATACATTTTTAGTACCAGCATTACAAAACTCAAAATAGTGTATTGTTTCAGCTGAGACTCCAGTTTTCTCCATTTTCCTTTTTTGTCTCAGGTAGTCACGAGTGCACGCACACAC